TATATATATATATATATATATATATATAAATTTTTATTTAGTTTTTTAATTTTTTTATTTACTATATGTTTTTTCTCTTTTATTTTAATTATTTAATTCGTTTTATATTTATAAAATCCACTCGTATATTTAAGATACCCTTTTATTATAGTTTTGATTATACACTTTTTTTTGTAATTATTTTTGAATGATGTACTATTAATTTAAGTGAATCAAATATATTTTAAGTTTATTTGATTATTATTTATTTTTCTGTATAATATCGCTTAATAATAGTGTATTAAATCAATAACACATATTTGATCACTTGTATATTTTTTTAACATTTTTATTTGTTGTTTATTTTAATTGTGTAAAATACTGTTTTAATAATTTTTATGTAAATATTTTATTTTGTAATTCTCAATTTTATCACTATAATTGTATAATTTTTTTATTTACTATAATATAATAATTTAATATCATTTTCACAAAGTTATAAGATAAAAAAAATCATAAATAAATTCAAATCATTATTAGTTTAATATTTTTTTATTAAATCTCATTTAAGTAGTGTATTATAATGTATAAAAAATTCATTAGTATTTAAATAAATGAAACAAAAAGACATTTAAATATTTTTAAACATTTGTTTTTTAATATTTTAAAAAACGTTTTAACTTTATTATCTTTGTTTTCTTAAATTGCATGATTAAGAAATGTTTTTGATTTTTATAAAATTTTATTTATGTGTTGTTGTATAATATCCTTTTCGTCCTATCCAATTATTATTTAAAATTTATATAAATTTTATTTATTTTTACATATTTAATAGTGAACAAATAAAATTTCAGTACATACACAAATGCAGGTATATCTAAAAATAAGAATGAAACAAAAATTATACTCTCATTGATATGAGGATGAATTGTCACTGTGTCCTCGCTCAGGCTCTGGACAACGAAGATGAGAAGAGACAAAAATATAATTATCTTTGTAGAAATTTTTGTTCTGTTATTTTTAATCAATAATATAATTATATTACATCTATTATATCATGGTAACTTAATAAATTTCAAGTGTACATTAACATATATGTTAAACCTTACCTCTTTTGATTATTAATGAATATGTTCATAATAGCTAATTTATCTTAATTATAATTCAAATATCTCAGATAAATACCCTTCATCATTGTGCTATAGAAACAAATTATACATTTTTTTCAGCAAAAAATTATTTATTTTTAAATCCAGCATTCCAAGCCATTCAAAATATCCATAAATCCCGATATATTTTGTCCACAAATAATAAAATCTGATACATAAACAAGTTAAAAAGAAAAGAAAATAAAAAAAAGAAGAAGCTCAAAACAAATACTCTCCATGTGCATGATCGAAGTACGAAGAAACCCGTAAATGTGGCCCACTAATGCGTTTACGTCCAATTAGTTATAGGTTTTTCTTCATGTATCTCGTACTTTTTAGTTGTACTCCCATAAACTTAAAATAACTATTTTAGAACATTGTTCTTTTAATCGGGTCAATTTGTTTCCAAAATTACCAATTTGGATTAAAAAAAAAACCCACATAGTCATGTTGTAATGTATAAACACAACTTTGTTTTAAATATATCGTATTGTTTATTGACGACTTTAAATTATGGAAGTGAAGTCATCAAATCATACAATGATTTTTTTATAAATTAAAGTTTGTATTGCAAATAAATACCTATTTTAATTAATTATACTTAATAAGGAAAATTGTCATTCCTTATCAAGACTTCACTTACATTTTTTTAAATAATTGAATTTTGAATTGAAATTGTTATCTCTTATGGCAATTTTAATAAATTTCACTTTAAACTAGAATCGTCATACTTCATGACTACTTCATTTTGTTGTTGAAATGAAGTTCTCGTTTCTTTGATAATTCTAGCTCAAAAATAATTATACTAAAACTGAGAGTGATGACAATTTTATTTTAAAATTAATTATATTGAAGTTGTGACAAAAGACGAGGATTTCGGTTCAAATTCAATTATCATACGAAATAACGACTTTAATTCAAAATTTATGATTAATTATAATTAGTATTAATTAAATTAAATGCTCACGATACGAACTTTAATTTACACAAAATTCGTTATTTGCTTTAACTATTTCACTTCCATAGTTTAAAATCATTTATGGATATAATGATTTTTTCATTCAAAACAAAGTCGTGCTTATACAATACAACTTGATCATGTATTTTTTTTTAACATGAATTAATAATTATAAAACAAATTAATCCCATTCAATTAAAAAACTTCATAGGAGGCTTTTTGCCTTTTTTTATCTAGAACACGATTTTGATAATAGAATTTGCATGACAAGTTTTCCATAATACAATTTTAGAATATAATTTTTAAAATAAGTTTTTCCAAATTTAAATTATACATATAATAATATTAGATAAGATCTAAATAATATCAAAATTTAATCTAAAACACTTATCTTAAAATTTAAACTTCAAAATAAATTTCACACCTATAGAATTAAAGAATAATTTATTATGCATGTAGATAAGTTGATCACTTATAAAAGCTCATTGTTCGACTTCATATTTAATATTAAAGTTTTTATTGATTTCAATCAATTGAGGTGTCTTTCAAAGATGCTTTCATGTTAAATTAAGTCAAGATTCGATTATACAGATAATAAATGTTATAATCAACATGTAGTCAATTACCTTATTTAGATCATGAATTTATAGTTTTGTAATAAAATTTTGTTTTAGACTTACTTATGACCCAAATTTGCTTAAACCTAATTAATGACTTAATTCTTATTACTTACATTTTCTATTTCACTTGTATTTCGATTATCGAGTCGAGGTTGTCTGTTTTACTATATAATATGTCTTCACGTTCGCATCTCAATCTTTGTCACCATTTATCTTGAATGTCTGTTCAGTCAAGTTGGAGATTATCGACAAAATGTACTCTGATGTTAAAGTCAAGTTCGACAATTAAACAATTAATGTGTAATAAATAGAATTATCTACTTTTTTTTTACCTCAAACGAGTATTTATAGTTTTTGAAATAAATTTTAGATTAACGATAGATAATCACGATTCAATTGTTAATAATCTTGTTTTGCTTTAATATAATTAATGTTAATGTTAATGTTAATCTCGTAATTGATTGTTGGACCAGTCAAACGATAACAATAGATTGATCATGTGAATATAATCATATAATATAACTTGTATTAGTGCTTGACCACCAGATCAACATATTGACATTATACATTATGAGAGAATTTTGACAAAAGCTAATGTGATAAAAGATGTTTGATTGACCAGTTAATCAACATTGTTATCTGGACGTTTAATTGGTTGGTGTACCGTAATATACACACAATTAATTTGAACCAACTCTTTGTAACATTTACAAAAATATAAAGAAAAAAATAAAGCTATTTTTATATAGTTTTCAACATATCTTTTTTAATTTTAACATAAGTTCAGTATACGAATTTTTTATTTTAATTTTTCTGGAAGATTTAAAATTGAACTAAAAAATAGAAACCGAACGTAGCACATGGCATTATTGAGAGAAGAAGTGTTGAATTCAGTTCCTCTTTCTTAAAATAATCGGTGTAGATATGGCATTTTGCACTTGCTGTCTTTCTTGCATGAACTCCCTTCGACACCTCACAACATAACCCTTTTCAAATTATCTTCTTCGATTTTAATACGCAACAACTCGTAAGTGTTTTTTTGTCGTGACTTTTCAGATTTCATCTTCAGAGAACCAATACTCTATTTTCAACTCTATTTTTTCTGAATGATATATATATATATATATTTTTTTTCCATATAAGATAAAGATATTCCAAAAATGCTCACCAAATATATATACTAGTAGTTTTGTGAAGTATTTTAAAATTTTGTATTATGTGAAAAATATAGTAGTAATAATAAACAATGCGACATAATAGTAGACAGGTGTCAAGAGGTTTGGGGCAAGTGGCTCTAAAGGAGAGTGTATGAGTATCTGAAGGGTAGGTGTCATCATATAACATCTCTATCACTCATGCATCCTCAAACCAAATACTACTATACAACCTTCTCTTAACTTTTTATTCATTTATTAATCACTCATTCCAATACTATATTACTCACTACTTCAAATTAAACTATTGATTAATTATTTATTAATACATTACTCGCTAGTTCAAATATCAGTGTATGTCAATATGAGATTTTCAACCCAATTTTTCACATGTTTTATTGTTTTAAAAGTCATTATTGCACTGTTTTGGTTAAAACATCCGTCAATCCTATATTACTATATATATATATCAATTGTTTTTTATTTACTTAACTGATTAGTAACACAGTAATAACGATATCTTAGACAAAAGCAATATACATTAAGTGTTCATTGTAATGAAAAGTGATTCAATAGAAAAAAATGTTAGTTTGTATACATTTGGTTTCTAAATTTTAAAAATAAATATATATAGTTATTCTTATTCAAACGATATTAACATATTTTAAATATTAAACATGTTTTTAGTTTTTAGAAATAATATGTTTTCAATGTTTGATATATTTTTTATTTCAAATTTTAAAAATAAACAAATATAATTCTTTTACTTAAAAAATATTAATCTTTTTTAGTTATTAAATAATGTTATAAATTATTATTTAAGTTGTTTATGTAATTTGATATATGACTCGAATATTAATTTCAAACTTTCGTTTTATCATGTAAAAGAAATTAATCTTATTAAGGTAAAAATTATATATCTATTATTTTTTAAATTTAATAAACAAAAGAATGAATTATAGTTTTACATACAAATTTGAATTTAAAAGTTAAAAATATATTTAACTCATAAAAATATTTTTTCATTGCATGCACTATTCTTGATTCTCGGTGTTCCTCCTTATAAATAGCACCCTCGTCAGTTTCCTTTGAGCATCGGTTGATGTTTGCCCAGTCCTCCCTTAAAGAAAAAATCATACATAGTTTTGTTTGAGTTGCAAAGATGTTTTCGGGTATGTCTGGTCTGATCCACAAGGGGCACAAGATAAAGGGGACAGTGGTGTTGATGCGAAAGAATGTGTTGGACGTGAACAGCGTAACCAGTGTTGGAGGCATTGTCGGTCAAGGTCTCGACCTTCTTGGTTCCACCGTCGATAATCTCACTGCCTTCTTGGGTCGATCAGTTTCTCTCCAACTCATCAGTGCCACCAAACCAGATGGTTTCTTTCCTCTTCTTTCACTTCATATATATCACTATACTTTCTTTATTCTTTCTTTTTTGTGTATCTTTAATGGAGTCCAAGAAAAGTGAAACGAAAACATGGTAAAACGGCTTCACTGATTTTTCTTGTTTTCTTTTCTTTCTTTTTGGTTAGCCAACGGAAAGGGGAAGCTTGGAAAGGCTACCTTTTTGGAAGGTATCATCACTTCACTGCCAACTTTGGGAGCAGGCCAATCTGCATTCAAAATTCATTTTGAATGGGATGATGATATGGGAATTCCTGGAGCATTTTACATCAAGAATTTCATGCAAACCGAGTTCTTCCTTGTCAGTTTGACTCTTGAAGACGTTCCAAACCATGGAAGCCTCCACTTTCTTTGCAATTCCTGGATATACAATGCCAAACACTTCAAAAACGATCGCATCTTCTTTGTCAATCAGGTCAAGTATTGCTTACCAGCCACTCTATACACTTTTTAAGTCGTCAATAACTTTGGTGCAACGATGAAGCTAATAACAACGTTATATATATATTGCAGACATATCTTCCAAGCGAAACACCGGCTCCACTGGTGAAGTATAGAGAAGAAGAGTTAGTTAATTTGAGAGGAGATGGAACGGGAGAACGTAGAGAGTGGGACAGGGTCTATGACTATGATGTCTACAATGATTTAGGTGATCCTGATAAGGGTGAAAATCATGCGCGTCCTATTCTTGGAGGGTCTGACACCTTGCCTTATCCTCGTAGGGGGAGGACTGGTAGAAGACCAACTAGGAAAGGTTTGGCTTCTATTTCTACACTTCACCATGCTAGAATGATCCTTATCGTGAGCTAGCCATGTTGGATGAATGTTGCTTATTGTTTAGAAATTAGAAGTACTTATTTTAAGTTTGAATATTTATGTTTTGCCGCTGATAAATTCTGGTGTTTTTGATGAAACAGATCCAAAAAGTGAGAGTAGGAGCTCTGATATTTATCTTCCAAGAGATGAAGCGTTTGGACACTTGAAGTCATCAGACTTTCTGACTTATGGGCTGAAATCCGTATCTCAAAATTTTCTTCCAGCATTGGAATCTGCTTTTGATTTGAATTTCACGCCCAATGAGTTTGATAGCTTTGATGATGTTCATGGACTCTATTCAGGTGGAATTAAGCTGCCAACAGATTTAATTAGAGACATGAGTCCATTTCCCGTGCTCAAGGAATTCTTTAGGACTGATGGTGAACAGTTCCTTAAGTTTCCTCCTCCTAAAGTGATTCAAGGTATCTCATATTAGTACTAATATCTAAAATGGATCCCAAACAACATTTGAGTTCCAATGAATCTGAGTTATTTGTTATTACTTGAGCAGTGAGTAGGTCTGCATGGATGACCGATGAAGAATTTGCAAGAGAAATGCTTGCTGGTGTAAATCCAAACATGATTCGTCTTCTTCAGGTAAGCCTTATCAAGGTTTTGTTATTATAAAAAATACAGCAAACCAAAAGGTTATATTTTCTGATTTTCTTATATTTACCATTGCAGGATTTCCCTCCACGAAGCAAGCTAGATAGCCAAGTCTACGGTGATCATACCAGTCAAATTACCAAAGAACACCTGGAGCCTAACTTAGAAGGACTCACTGTAGACGAGGTATACATAATATGATAAAATTGTTTCTTTATAAAAGTTTGTTTGATGATTTTTTGAATGATAACGAGTACAATATATTTGGTTGGAAAGGCAATTCAAAACAAGAGATTGTTCATACTTGATCATCACGACTCAATCATGCCATATTTAAGGCGAATAAATGCAACATCCAACAAGGCTTATGCCACCAGAACCATCCTTTTCCTGAAAAACGACCGAACTTTAAGGCCACTTGCCATAGAACTGAGTTTGCCACGTCCCGGGGATGATAAATCAGGTGTTGTTAGTCAAGTTTTTCTGCCTGCAGATGAAGGTGTTGAAAGTTCTATCTGGCTTCTAGCAAAGGCCTATGTGATAGTGAATGACTCTAGCTATCATCAACTAGTCAGCCACTGGTATAAATTTTCTCACCAAAATCATATAAAGGCTATTCAATTCAATCCAAATATATCTATATGGAATGATTATTAACAACTTTTCATGGATTATATATTAGGTTAAACACACATGCAGTTATGGAGCCATTCGTCATAGCAACAAACAGGCATCTCAGTGTTGTTCATCCTATTTATAAACTCCTGCACCCTCACTATCGTGACACCATGAACATAAATGCCCTTGCTCGGGGATCTCTTGTCAACGACGGTGGAATTATAGAGAAAACCTTTTTATGGGGAAGGTATTCTATGGAAATGTCTGCTACGATCTACAAGGATTGGGTTTTTACAGATCAAGCTTTGCCAGCTGATCTTATAAAAAGGTGATTCATTTTCATCCTGGTTTAGTTTATTGCTAACAGAAGCTGAAAACATAATTAATCTCATGAAGTTATCTGTAAATTGTGATATAGAGGAATAGCAACTGAGGATCCAGAGTGCCCTCATGGTCTTCGTCTCTTCATAGAAGACTACCCTTATGCTGTTGATGGACTTGAGATATGGGATGCTATCAAGACATGGGTTCATGAATATGTTTCCTTGTACTACAAATCAGATGACACACTGAAAGAAGATCCCGAGCTCCAAGCTTGGTGGAAAGAACTGGTAGAGGTGGGTCATGGTGACAAGAAAAACGAGTCATGGTGGC